ATTGGTACAAGCACATTGGCATATAGCAATGCACAAAGGGTGTTTCAACAGGAAAGTTTTATTTAAGATCAGGAGTACAGTTCTGAAGCAACTCCTGCTGTTCCCACTTACTACATGTCAATTAACTTCACAGAGCACCCTGCATGAAGGAACTGGACACCTTCCAGATTAAATAGATGAGCTCCATGAATGCACCTAATGCCACCTAACCACTAATTGGCACTCAGTACATAGGACCAGACTACAAGTAGTTCAAAGAAAGTCCTGAAACATGGAGGTCAGGTCCTCAGCACCAACTGCTTTGGCCCTGTAAATTTACTCTTATTGAGCCATACTTGCTGGTGCAGATGTAGCCTTAACTTTGAGTCAAATCCTGCAATCCTTACTTAGGCAAAGCTATTAAAATACATGAGAAACTGGTCTAGGTAATGACTGTTATATTTGTGCTATCAGCATTTTGAAAGACTTCCCTAAAAAGAGCCTGCAGACAGATATAAACAAGCTCCCAAACTTAGCCTTCAGGAAAGCTGAACATAAACTTGCCTTTCCCAAGCACCATCCACCAACAAACCAAGATTTAAATAAATTAATTACCTGAAATTCTTACGCTTACTGTATGGGGATTTGCTGGACAGCATGAGACAAAGCCTGCTTGCCTTCCCCACCCCTCTTTCTCTCACTGGAGTATGTGCTTATCCTGTGCCTTGGATCTCGCCCATATATCAAATGGCAGTCAGTAAAAACCCAGAAGGCATGGGAGAAAGTGGTTCTGGCCTTTAAATTCTGCCCTGATGTGACTCCTTGCTCTGTATGGACTGCCAGCAATGCCTGAATCTAAAGGAAAATCTTTGTACAATTAGCTCACACGTGGTGTGAAGGGTCTGGTAACTACAGCACGCTCTGCACTCGCCAGCAGGGCAACCCTTCTGCCAGGTGGGACTGACAGGCAGATGTAACAAGCCTGCTACTGCTCCATGTGTAATCAGCAAGGAGTAAAACCCACTTGTGAGCCTGAAAAGCTGAGTAGCAGATGGTTGGGAGGTGGGGTGGGATTACCCAGGGGAGCTGGGTTTTTTTTGTTGTTATTATTTTCTTCCTTAAGGTTTTTACATCTCCTTGTGCTGAAGCTTGTCCCTCTCCCTGTGGTTTAACAGAGTGTCTTGCTCGATCTCACCTTCAGCGAATTTTCTGGTCCAAATCTTTGAGATCCAGTGTCCCAGAAAATTAGGGCTACCCCTATTGCTGTGGGGTGAGTTTAACACCTGTGGGATGCTTTCATTGCCTGGCCTCCTTCCCCAGGCACAGGAGGCCTGAGCTTCTCCTCTCTGGCATGAAGCACAGGCAGGTAAAGCTCTAAAGAAACACTAAACTAACTCCTAATTAAATTCCTGAACTCTCTATGCCACCACCTTTCTGAGAAACCTTTTTTTTTCCTTTCCCTTTGAGGGATTTGGCAGCTAAGGAAAACCTGGGCCTGCTCCAGCTTTGCCGAGCCATGAGCCCTGTGGCAAGTTCCCCATCCAGTCCTGGTTGTGAGACCCTCGCAGCTGAATTTTCCCCCATTTCTGTAGTCACACTGGGCTGGGGCCTGCAGTCCTCATGTCTTCCCTCCTCACAGCCACCCATCCTCAGGGGGTCGTATCAGCTCCCGAAACACCGTGCTTGCTGGGGTAATGGGGCTCTGAGGGCCTCAGCCCTGCCACAGCTGTAGGAGCTGCAGGAGCTCAAACAAAAAAC